CATTTTATTACATTATTTAGTCGAATATTAAAATCCATTTTAATTCAATTCTAATATCATTTTAATATTCGATTCGACTCAAATATATCAAATCGAAAACAGCATAGTATTGGGATATTTTTAACTGCAATACCATAAAGATACACAGTTGATATATATATATATATATATATATATATATATATATATATATATATATATATATATATATATATATATATATATATATATATATATATATATATATATATATATATATATATATATATATATATATATATATCAATTTAAATTAAACATGTTATTATATTATTTGGTTGAATATTAAAATCGGTTTTAAAATTCGATTAAATTGAAATGTAATTTTGATATTTGATTCGACTCGAATATTTCAAATTGAAAACAGCATAGTCCATAGTACAATCTTTTTTTCTCCTGCAAAACCATATAGATACACAATCGATATATCAATATAATTGCCAACATTTTATTTTATCATTTGGTCAAACAATAAAATACATATTAATATTCGTTTATTCGAATATAATTTTATTCTTCGATATGACTCGAATATATTGAATTGAAAACAGAATAGTATTGTAATATTTTCTACTGCAATACCTTATTGATACAAAGATGATATATTGATATAATCACCAACACTTTATTATAGTATTTGGTTGAATATTAAAATCTGTTTTAATATTTAATTTAATTTGAATATAATTTTAATATTCAATTCGACTTAAATATATCGAATTGATAAAAGCATAGAACTATGACATTTTCTATTGAAATACCAAATTGATAAACACAAACAATATATCGATATAATCGGCAACATTTTATTATATTATTTAATATTAAAATCTCAAATATTCAAATATTAAAATCTCTTCAATTCGAATATCTGGTGACACGTACAATGGTAGAAAGTCCAACTAAGTGTTTTTAATTCTGATTATAAAAAAACATTAAAATTTGATTATATTAACAGACTGTTTAAACCGTTCATAAAAGTAATTTTTGCATAATAGGTCCCCTTTAAAACTTTAAAGAGAAAAAACACACACAAAAGTTCAAGAGTCTTCCTTAAAACTGTCATACAGTCACACGATTCTTCTTTAAAAATCACGAATATAAAAGGCCTATCAGGAATGACCCAGATGTTAACATCTAAATATGAAAGGAAACAGAAAATGAGAAGCTCACAGATTGTGTCAGACATATTTCAGCCGCACTGATAATAAACGATATCTCCGCTGTCAGCGATGTTCAGAGTAAAACCAGCACGGCACCACAGGCTCTTTCATGGTAATACCGGCCATCAAGACTCACAATACAGCAGCCGTCAAGCGAGGGTCACGTTATCATTTACAATTCACATTCGCCAGCTCACCTTGAGGAATTAAATTTGGGGAGATTTCATATAAAGCAATTATCGCTGACTTCATGGGGCAGGAGTTCTTCTGAAAGGCCTTATTAGAGAGAGATGAAACAGATTCTAATGCGCAGGAATTCCTGGTGTTTCTTGAATCCATTTAACCGGGGCGACACCTTTTGCGATGAATTACTTCTGGTTGTGGAGAACAGAGATGTATGTACTGTATGTCCAAGTGTAGTTGACAAAGGCCTTAATGTTGGCTTCTCATTAGAGACGTTTCCCCTTCATGAAACGCTCAAAAAGAGCTCCAAATAATTGAAGGCAAGACACTGCAGTCAAAAAACAAGCTTTCGACAAGCTTGATATTTCAGGCTTTTTAGCTTTTAAGTAAAGTTTAAAAAGTTTAAATAAAGTAAAGTTTTAAGTTAAGTTAGTTAAGTGTTTTGTCAGCTTAAATGTAAAGAAATTATCCAAAATACACTTTCACTGAGAAATTAGGCTACAAAATCTGTCTTGGTTTTTAAAATGTACCAACATTGCACATATTTTTACTAAAAGGTGCAGAAGTGAACAATCCCATTGAGAGTTTTTATATGCTTTATTCTCTTTTCTGAATGTTTAAAATTGTTTCTTTTTCCATGCTTTATCAATTAGCCTGTAAATGTCAATTACAATACTTGATTTTAAAGCTACTTTTTTTTTCTCCTGCACTGGGCCATAAATCTCCACTTCAGCAGCTCTTACAAACACAAAACCTCACAGTTCTATTAAAATCTGTATTTACTTTATCATGTAGGTTTTATATAATAAAAATAAATAAATACATATAAAATTTAGCCAAGGCTCATTGGAAATTTTTGTGAAATACATTGCTCCGGCTATGTTTCATTGTACGTTTCAGATGACAAATGCACTAGAGGGTGCTGTTTACAGTTCTGCAAATTGCAAAATACATTACTCTGGGCATGTTTTGTTGTACATTTCAGATGATAAATTCACTAGATGGCGCTGTCTACATTTCTGCAAACTGTAAAATGTTACTTAGGGTGTGTTTTGTTGCACATTCCAGATGATGAATTCACTAGATGGCGCTGTATTTCTTTTTTGCAAGTCTAAATTGAGTTACTTATGGTATGTTTTGTTGTACGTTCCAGATCCACATCTTTCACGTACATAAGGAGCTGGGCGTCCAATGAAATGTACCCTGATCTATGTATTTTACAGTGCACAAAAACTATAAAGAGTGCCCTCTAGTGGTTTGTCATCTGAAATGTGCAACAAAACGTAAATTAAGTAATGTATTTCAGAATTGCAAAATGTAGACGCCGCCCTTTAGTGTATTTATCATCTGAAACATGCAACCAAACCTATCTAGAGCAATGTGTTTTATGTTTCACAAAAATATAGATAGTGCCCTTTAATGGTTTGTCATCTGAAATGTGCAACAAAACATACCTTAAGTAACGTATTTCACAATCGCAAAATGTAGACAGCGCCCACTAGTGGGTTTGTCAACTGAAACGTGCAATGAAACATGCTCGTAGCAACATAATTTACATTTTACTAAAATATACAGAGTGCCCTTCAATGGTTTGTCATCTGAAAAATGTAACAAAACGTAGCCTAAGTAACGTATTACACTATAAAATGTAGACAGCATCTTCTAGTAGATTTGTCATCTATAACGTGCAAAGAATTGAATCCGTAGCAAAGTATTTTACGTTTCATTAAAATATAGAGCGCACTCTAATGGTTTGTCACTTGAAATGTGCAACAAAACGTACATTAAATAATGTATTTCAGAACAGCAAACATGTAGACAGCACCCTCTAGTGGATTTATCATCTGAAACATGCAACGAAACGTTCTTGGAGCAACGTGTTTTACATTTCACAAAAATATAGAGTGCTTTGTAGTGGTTTGTCATCTGAAACGTGATACAAAACGTACCTTAAGTAGCATATTTCAGAATCGCAAAATTTAATCAGCGCCCTCTACTGGATTTATCATCTGAAACGAGCAACGAAACGTACCTGGAGCAACGTGTTTTACATATCACAAAAATATAGAGTGCCTTCTAGTGGTTTGTCATCTGAAACGTGCAACAAAACGTACCTTAAGTAACATATTTCACAATTGCAAAATGTAAACAGCGACCAGTAGTGAATCTTTTATCTGAAACAAACAACAAAACATACCTGGAGCAATATGTTTTGTGTTTCATAAAAATTTTGAGTGCTCTCTAATGGTTTGTCATTTGAAACTTGCAACAAAACGTACATAAAGTAACAAATTTCGGAATTGCAAAATGTAGACGACACCCTCTATTGGATTCATTATCTGAAACGTGCAACAAAATGTACCCGGAGCACTGTGTTAGACATTTCACAAAAATATAGTTCCCTCTAATGGTTTGTCATCTGAAACGTGCAACAAAACGCACCCGGAGCAACGTGTTTTATGTTTCACAAAAATACAGAGTGTCCTCTAATGGTTTGTCATCTAAAATGTCTGACAAAACATAGCCCAAGTAACATATTTCACAATTGCAAAATATAGCAAGCGCCCTCTAGTAAATCTTTTATCTGAAACGAGCAACAAAACATACCTGGGGCAATGTGTTTTACGTTTCATTAAAATATAGAGTCCCTCTTAATGGTTTGTCATCTGAAACTTGCAACAAAACGCACATGAAGTAACAGATTTCAGAATTGCAAAATGTAGACAGCACCCTCTAGTGGATTTATCATCTGAAATGTGCAACGAAACGTACCCGGAGCAACGTGTTTTACGTTTCACAAAAGTACAGAGTGCCCTCTAATGGTTTGACATCTGAAACTTGCAACAAAACGTACATAAAGTAACGAATTTAAGAATTGCAAATGTATACGACACCCTCTACTGGATTGATCATCTGAATCGTGCAACGAAACGTACTTAGAGCGTGTTTTACGTTTCACTATAACATAGAGTGCCCTCTAATGGTTTGTCATTTGAATCTTGCAACAAAACGTACATTAAGTAACGCATTTCAAAATTGCAAACTGTTGACAGCGCCCTCTAGTGGATTTATCATCTAAAATGTGCAACAAAATGTACATTAAAGTATGTTTTGGCATTTTTACAAAAATGCAGGCTGAAGCACATATAACCAACTAGCCTATGTTGCAACAAAATAAAATAAATAAAATAAATTAATTAATTAATTTAAAAAATGCAAGATTTTCTGAATTATGGAGTTGAAAATGACTTCAACCAGTGTTCAAATTTATGCACTGGAAATGTATGCAAATTAGTGGTTTTTTTTATTTTAAAAAGTATTATTTTTTGTCTTGTTACTAGTCCAAATATCAAAATAAATAAATAAATAAATATTTCAAAGCAAAATCAAGATTTTACAGATTATTTTGCTTGTTTTAAGGAAAAACTCTTAATTTTTACTTATTTTTTTCTGAAAACAAATGTTTATTTTTTTTTATAGAATTTTTTATTCAGTCTAGAAAATGAATTTTAATCTAATAATTTTGCATATTTGGACTAGAAACAAGACAAAAACTCCAAGTAAGAGAAAGGAAAAAAGAAAGAAAGAAAGAAAGAAAGAAAGAAGTCTTAAAATAATTACAAACTATGTTAATAACTATTAGCTAATTTTAACCCTCTTGATCTGCAGTGTCTGGCCTTAAATCTTAGAAAAACGCATCTGATGTTGATTTCAGTGTATGTATATGTGTGTGTTCAGTCTCCTGAGAGTCTGCAGTCCAGTATTTGGGGCTCACTGCGGCAGGGTGTGGGTGTCTGTCCGAGGGGCTGCAGGCACTGAAGGGTGAAGGTGTTCGCGTGCCCTCAGCCCCTCCAGGCTCTGGGACGGCGGCGGTGGCGGTGGCTCGAAGCCTCTGTTGATGTGCAGCGGCTGATGAGCCTGGCAATAGTCCACGATGGGCTGCTCGTACCTGTAGAAGGCCAGTGTGCTCATCTGCTGCGGGGCCTGAGAGAGACACAAAACACACAAGAGGAGAATGTTGAGCGATAATGCAGCGGATAAAGCAGACTGAGAGAGATCTGATGGAGCATCCAGGAGAGCAGATGTGTTGCGTGTGTGTGTGGTGGTGTAAATTAGTGATGAATGATTTCATCAGGGCATTCCACTGTAGTCATGACAATTTCTTTATAAATGATTTGGTTTGTGTTTTTATATAATTACTTTTGTATGTTTTGTATAAGTATATTGTATATTTTAAATATTTCATATTTGTATTTTAAAAGAAAATGCACAAACTATTATTATTATTATCATTATTATTATTATTATTATTATTATTATTATTATTATTATTATTATTATTATTATTAGCTAGCCTAATGTTCGTTAATAATAATTATGGAGTTAAATAAATCTTATGTAATTGTTTCCAGTTTTCTGCATATTTCTTTTTATAATAATAATAATAATAATAATAATAATAATAACAATAATACTAATAATAATAATAATAATTCAATAATTCATTCATTCATTCACACATTCATTGATTTTCTTTTCTGCTTAGTCCATATTAATAATAATAATAATAATAATAATAATAATAATAATAATAATAATAATAATAACAATAATACTAATAATAATAATAATAATTAATTAATTAATTAATTAATTAATTCACACATTCATTGATTTTCTTTTCTGCTTAGTCCCTATTAATAATAATAATAATATTAATAATAATAAAAATAATAAAAGTTTACGATTTTCTGCATATTTATTTTTGACAATGTTTTTTGCCTCAAATTTTGTTCATTGTGAAATGTTTTTTTAATTATATTTATTTATGATTTTAACAATTTTAAAAAATAGATTATGAATCATGAATAAAGAAAATTTGATAATTATGTTGGTATAATAATAACAACATACAATATTTGCATATATTACAAA